ATGAGGAGCCTTCGGGTGGCACACATAAAAGACAGATTAAGAATAAGATAAGTGAGAGGGACATTTTCGTCATTTATGATGAAAGGTTATTTTGATCTTTTAAGATGAAATGACATTTTGGTGATCTCATAATGCAATTAAATTTGCTGAGGTTGTTGCCTACATTTAATTTTATATGAAAATTAAATTAGTGAGATTGTAGTTAATATTAATATTAATAATATGGAATTCAAATTTGATTTTAAATTTGAATTGAAATGCCTTGTTTGGTAACAACGGGAATCTATTCCATTTATGAATAATTTGTTAGCTATTCCAAATTGGAATAGATGGCTATTCCAAGTTGGAATGGGGTTTTAATGTGCACTATTTAAGTGCAACTTAAATTAATACAATTTAAAAAGTTCCAACACTTGAAAACCTAGCCACCCTCTCTCTCCCAAACGCCAACTCCATTGTTAGGTCAGCGGAATTTTTACTTCAAAAATTCGGTTGTATTTTGTTCTTAAAGTTGAGGATTTTTTTAGCCAATAAAGTCCCTCAACGACATTCGTCCTGTCTTTGTGTGGATACTGTTAATGCACTCTTACCTTGGAGTGGTAGCTATTTTAATCTCATCGAAGAAGCTTCCAATTGCAGGTATAAGTTATGAAACTTTTATGTTTATTGTCGATTTATACTAACGACATAAATAAAATATAAGGTTTCTTGGGTTCACAGTTGTTGTTGGGGATTTGATTTGTTTTTTCGCTGCGTAAAACCCACTAGCAACTTTTATTTTGCTGAGAATAGGAGAGCTTGTCAAGGGCTCTCCTTCTAGCACCAAAATGTTGATACCAAAAACGGCACCAACCAGAAAGATCCGGTTGACCGTGATGGAAACGGAATGAATGTGTGCTTGATTAATGAAAATCAACAAATGATAATGCAAATGACACAAAATAATTTTAAAGTGGTTTGGCGAGTTGATCCTCAAATCTACGTCCATTGTGTTTATTGTTGCTCTTTTACTGGATAAGAATTGTTAACCCATTTTACATCGTTTTGGGGGTATTTATACATTTATTTTAAAATGGTAAGTCAGATAAATCCGGGATACCAATCACATTGTTTATCCCATGATTTTCGCGATTGTGTGTCAAAGTCGGGTTGAAAGGATATTAGCAATATCCTCTTTGAGATATCAGGAGATTTGGACTCATCCTCTAAGCTGTCGGACAACTGTTATGCAAGTGACGACAAACTTTGCTTTGGTCGAGCTTTATCTTGAAGCGACCTTTAGATAGCAGCAAGCTCTATGTGGCAACAAGCTTCATGTTTCATGAGCTATTGACATTTCCGAGCTTACAACAAAATTCACATACAACAATTCTCATTGTTTCATTAATTTATTTATTCTTTAAAATAAGGATTCTGTATCAATGAATACTTGATAAATAACATGCTGTATTCATCATATATATTAATGCGATTCATCCGCTCTTTAATTTCTTAGTTTTTTTTACAAAGCATATGAATCAGTCAGTATTTTATCTCTACCAAGGCCGGGACGGAAATTCTAATAAAATCCACTCTTTTGGTTAGAATCGGTCTCAAGAAAGAAAAAAAAAAAAAAAAAAAAAAAATTCTGTGCTAGAATTTAAACCATATCTTCTCGATCATATATATTAGGAATTTATTGAAAATTGTGGGAAAAACACAACTAAAAAAAAGGTGCCCCGATTCTTATTTTTCTAAGTCTAAGCGCAATGGGTCAAGAAACAAATGCAGTTAAAGTTTTAAACCTTTATTATGTTGATTAAAACTTATGCGGAATTAAGATTACTTGTTCACGTTGTGCTTAATGAGTTGCTGAACTAATGATTAAATATATAAACCGTCCACGACATAAAATATAGCACACAACTCAATTTTACATGGTTCGACAATCATGGTTACATCCATGGGACCAAGTCTAGAAGAAGCTAATCCACTATGAAATAATTATTTGTTCAATTACAAAGACAAGAATAAGTATCAGTTGTAAAAACTCCTTGTATGGACAACACTTCAATCTTCGCTCTTTGGTTGAATCTCAAACCTTCATAACTTAAACTCCTCTCAAGTTTCAACAATGATGAATTACTTCGGTCACAGCAGCTCAAACACGTCTAGATCTCAACACGGAACAACGTTTCAAAATCAACTCATGCAAGCAAGAGAAAAAACACGGTAATTCAAAGCCTACCAAGCATATTGGAAACCTACAAAAACTAAACAACCTCAAAGAAAATATTCAAAGAATAATGAAGGTAAATAATATGGCTTTCTTAAAAAAAGTCACAATAATAAAAGGATAATATATATACTTGTGACAAGGATTGGGAAAACAAGAAAGAATCCTTTTTAGATTTGTCTTCTTAGAAAAGGAATCCTAAATTCATAATCTCCTTTTAACAAAATGATTCTTGAACTTATTCTGATGCTTTTTATAATAATATTTTGAAAAAAGTAAAATTATGTTATGTTTACGAGAAAAGTAATTATTAATGTTTTGTGAGATGAATAAAGTAAAATATGATTTTTAAGAATATTGAAACAAATGTATTTTTGAGTTTTAACTTTATTGGGAAAACCAGAATAATATTTGGAAGCGTGTACCAAATGAAGCCTATATCTCCTTTTAAGAAAAGAATTTTTTGAAATCATGATCTTCTTTTAGGAAAAGGATTTTTGAAATGATCTTCTTTCAGCAAAAGGATTCTTGAAATCATAATTAAATAAAATCTTTTCCAACTCACATAATATATAATGTCCACAAAAATCTTTCCACAACTGGAAATATAATCACATTTAATTAAGGCAAGTGCAATATGCATAAATATTAAAATAAAATCTATTAGATGTATTATGATCACTGTGATTCTGTTTGTGACCACCTTTACTGAAACTAAATAGATTGTGCACTAATTTAAACGAATAAGTTAACAAAACCAAAATACTTACATGCAAGAACAAAGAAATTACGAACCCTGGTAGCTCATGAGTTCCATAGGAAATTTACATGATTGTTTCCTGTAAATGTAGGTATAAAGGGGAGAGACGACCATTGATTTGGTTAAGTCAGCTGGCTTGCTTTTTCCAAGATCGTGCTTGGAATTTATTATCTTTCCATGAACATTCATAGCAGGGTTGAATGTTTATCCTTTTCATCTTACGTGTAATATTAAAACACGAACATGTGCATATTTTTCCATTGCCTTCGTATAAGCCACGTAACTAATTTTGTCCAAAATTTTAATTAATGCTAATAACAAATCTTAAAAGTTTGGATTGTCGACAAAAAAACCAAATCATTTCGTTATACAATAGAACTTCTTTATAGTGATATTCTATACATGAATAACCTTCATGTAATCATAAAAAATTCTGGTCTTAATCTGGGTCAATTGTAAATAAAAATAAACTTCATATTGTAATAAATTATAATTATTCTAGGTCTCGTCTTAAAGAATTTACCTTTACATAGTAATAATTATCAATATCTTGCAAAAAATATATGTTATATTTCATTAAAGGTTTAAGATGAAATATAATATTTATCTAAATTTGTTTGAGATAATGATTTATGCTTTAGAGTTATTACCACATTTTTAAACTTGCAGATACGTAATAACTCGCCAATATGAAACCTTCTTGTTGGAACCAAAATATTTCTAGGTTCTCAAACATGGTTAGAGCTTTTTGACATGCAATTTTTTATATTTCCGTACTATTATCCTCAGAATTATATCATTCCTCTTCTTGTCTAATTGCAGTATTGATTTTTTTAGTTAAAATATAAATGACTTATTGTTCATTTGAATGATTGAGGAAAACATTAATATCCATTCGATTAGTGCATATTTTCCCTCTACACCACTTGTACTAAGGATAACTAAGTCAAAACAATAATTTTTGTAACTATGATCTCTATTAAGTTATAACGTCCTTATAATAATAAAATTGTTTGATCTCACCATCATGACTATAAAAAAGTTCTATTGTATTTTCAAATGATTATGTGCTTGATGGGTATTTTCTAAGAAATAATTTTAATCAATTAATTATTTCATTGTCGAGAAAAATCTTCTCTAATTAAAACTAGATATTGACAACATACTAATAATCAATAATACTATACTTATAAAGATTTCTATACAAAGTGATGTGACAAAAAAAAAAATGGAAGAGCGAAACAGAAAGTCAAGCTCACTATATTCATAATTCTATTCATTTTTTAGCACATCACTTTATATGGAGATCTTTGTAAGATTTCTTTATAGAGTATTAGAGCATCTTCAATGGTACTCTTTATTTTAAAGAGCATTTTTCATATAAATAAAGAACATCTTTATTGATTTCTAAATATAAAGAACAAATTTTTTAATCAAATCCAATAGACTATAAATTTTAAGAGAGATAATATGTTTTTTTCAAAAAAGAAACTTTACAGGAGAGATAAATAATAAATAAAATGCATAGAAACTTGTAATTTATTATTTAAAATTAGGATAGTGAATAAAATTTGACTTTCTAAATGTAGAGAGTCAAACTCGCTCTCTAATTTATATTTAAAGAATAAAAATCTTTTAAACTTTTGTTTCTATAGATAAACTCTTAATAATAAAGAATTTAGATCATATAAATAATCCTTCAAGATGCTCTTATTCACTAACAATAGCTAACGTGATGTTTCCTTTCCTATTCAATTTGAGAGTATTAAATCTTGACCCGATCATATTCTAGTCAACTCATGTTATTCTATTACAGATCTAGAATGCCACAATCCACGCTTGTAATTTACAAAATTAATACGACAAAACAAATATAAAATTTTTATTCAGGAAACCAAATCTAATACATAGATTAGCATCACTCATCAACTCAACCCAAAAGCCCTTTCAAGTGCTCCATTTGTACTGCTGCTCATACACTACACAGCACAAACTTCAACAACAACATTTCACTTTTTCATTGCACTCCCTTCTGTAATTAATTATTTCCGACGACTAGCAGTCTCCATGGGCCCTGCTCGTCTTGCTAGCTGAATAACATCAAAGACAACATCAAATTTTATCAGTTAAAAATACATAATTTACATTTTTTCTGGGTAAAAACAACACAAACAGGGTTCAGCTCAGCCACCTGAAAATAAGCTTCTAGTTTCTTCTTCAGTGTTGCATATTCCTTCTTCAGTTGTTGGAAGGTCCTCCTACTTCTGCAAACCGCAAACACACAGGTAAAAAAAACTGTCAAATTCTAGGAGTGTCAGGTGATTAATATTAATAATAATAATAATTAAACATTTATAACATCTATCATCTGCACCTCTGTGGGTGCGAAGGGTGTGAAGTAGTTGATACTTGGAGCGATTGCGATCCGATGATCGGTTGGATAGGAGGATGCAGCACCACCCAGTGAGAAGGATTTAGTCAGTCATGAATGCATCTACATGAAAGGAATAAATGAAACATGACAACTGCTCATTAGTTAAGTAGTGTTATAAGATAGTAAACAATCTGACATTTGGAAGTCAAGAGATGTTAGAAAGAGAAGGCACTCAAAAAGAAACTGATTACAAATTTCTGCACCTTGAGTGGACGGATGGACTCCCGTCCATTATTAAGGGACACCCGTTCAAAAAGTTTGAACCGAGTCCATTCAGTTGAGCATAATTTTGTTGAACTTTAAAGTATGGAAGCGTGTTCAATAACAGTAGACGCTTGTACATTATTAAATGATGCCCGTCCATAACATTTAAATGGGCGTTCGTTAATTTTTTTTTTTAATTTATAGTTTGGATGGGTATCCATTAAAAGTCTTCGTCGGTCCATTAGTATGGACTCCCATCCATTGAATATAGATAGGAGCCTATCATTTTTGTTTTTAAATTTAAATTATAGATGGGTATCCATTATAAGTAGACATCTGTCTATAATAAATAGACTCTCATCTATATAATATAGATAAAAATTCATCATCTATTTCGTATGGACAAACGTGCATCTAATAACAATAAATAATCGCCCATAATTGATGAATAATTATTCACCCGGAAAATATTTATTAAAGTAATACCTAGTTGGTATAAGTGTGATAACACATAATTCGATGTACAGTCCCACTGTCAGTGGCATTATTGATTTGATTATGTTATCGGTTCTGACTGTATCATTAATTGTCTCTTGGGCCTACTCTGAATGACGTGAGGTCTGGTCTTGAATGTAGGATCATAGAAGGAGACACACGCACTTTCACGGCAGTTTCACTTGTAAAGTATTTTTTATGGATTTGATCAATGGACTCTTGCACACGAGTCAACTGCTGTCCAATTGAAATATCTATATGAAAGTAAATAATCCTAACTGCGTACACCACAAGTTTGTTACAACTTTCCTCCTCTTTATCTCCCGCCCATTACGTCTTCTTTACTTCGCCGTTTTCCTTCAGAATTTCTCAACATGAATGCCTTACCTGCTTTACTTCGGGTTACCACCAGTTCCACCGTTACTCCTCTCTCTGGTATTTTACCTCCAATCCCTGAAATTTTCCTCTCAAAATTTATAATCTTTCTGTTACTTCAACTGATTAACTTCTTTGACTGGGTCATCCTGTAATGGTAATTAAGTATTATTAATGGATCATGGATGAGGATTCTGTTAATTTTTCATATTGAGGATTTAATTTACAAGTGCCAGCTGGTTTCAGGACCTCTGGAAGGCAGAAACGTCCTTAGTTGGCATTTTATTTCTCACCTTCATGCTTATTAACACGTTTTATTTTATTTTATTGGATACGTGAATTGCTTGTTTGCTTAATATACATAAATAGATTTAACAACCGACTCCCATCTTGTTTATTTCTGGTTATTTGATGCGCTTGTGTGAGAATCATAAAATGTAATGGTTTTTCTTAGGCCAGATTTTGAAGTGTTGATTGTTATATTTGCATTGATCTGAGTTCCGTGGCTTAGATGGGATCTAGTTGCTCATAGGCTTGATGCTATTACTTTAGTTCTGATAGTTTGTAATCTTGAATTTCAATTACATTCGAGTGCAGACGATGTGGATCCCGCCACTGGCACGAGTTTGTATCCATCTCACCGATGTAAAACTATTCACCTGGTTCGTGCCAAGATTTAATTATTTGTTTCTTTAAGTATTGTAGAGATTTTAAATTGGAGAAGACTTGTGGTATTGTAAATTTTTGCATGCAGGTGAGGCATGCTCAGGGTATTCACAATGTAGCCGCGGAAAAGAACCATGATGCTTACAAGTCTTGTGATTATTTTGATGCACAGCTTTCCCAAGACGGCTGGAAGCAGGTAATCACCACTTAAATTTTGTTTCATTATCAATTTAGCTCCTCCGATCTTGTCAAATGTTTTTCATCTAATAAAAACTAGAAAGTTTTTCAAGATGATGTTCTGTTAGGACCTTGAGAATTCTGCGTTTGTTTTGCTTCAGCAAGAAGAGAATCATTATCAATTTATTAGTGTTTGTACATTGTACAACGCTTTTAGTGAAAAAAATGACTTGGGACGATTCTGTGGTATAATACCAGGTGGAGAATTTGCACAAGGATGTTCATGAAGTTGGACTTTCTAAGAAAATTGAGTTGGTCATCACTTCCCCTTTATTAAGGTGAACTAGATTCCTTCATACTGTTCGTCATTGTTTATGCGTTCTTGCATTTTAGGTTATGACTTCCATAATTTGAATAGCAGGACTATGCAAACAGCAGTAGGAGTCTTTGGTGGTGAAGGGTATGTAGATGGGACAGATGCACCTCCATTGATGGTGGAAAAAGCAGGGAACAGTGATCGTTCTGCAATCTCAAGTCTAAATTGCCCACCATTTATTGCAGTTGAGCTTTGCCGAGAACGTTTGGTATGTAATGTACATAACGAAGGCTAGTCAGACAGAAATTAACTTCCTTCTCAAAGATGTTCATATTCTGTTCACCTTAAATAAAGGAAAAAGAAAAAAGAAAAAATGGAAACGGAGAGAGAGAGAGAGAGAGAGAGAAATGAAAAAACGAACTCTTTATTTGGTAAAAGAGCTTTTAGTGTAAAGTAATTTACCATTGAAAGACGAATTTCATGAATACGTGCCATTGTGCATTTTGACAATAAATTAGGTTCTGGGCTAGCAGTTATAATATTAATGTATCAATGACTTGGCGCTCTGTCAACCTAAGTTGTTGTATTAGCTTTTTAAATATATTCTGAATTCATGAACGCTCCAAAATCTAGATTGGTATGCCTAATAACATATTGTGTCATCAAGGAAGATTGGACTAAGTTTCTAATTCATTCCAAATTTTTGTCAAGGTTTCAGTATAACATAAAATTGGATTAAATGTTTCAGGGCATGGCCTAGGTCCTGTGGTTTAGAAAGCAAACAAGGCTGACACCTAGATCCACTTTCCACTTGATGTGATCATTGTGAGGGTTTTAACTTTTAAGATAGTGCAAACACTTCTACTGCAAAGTGAAATGTGGAGCACCGTTGGTTTCCAGTGCTCTTGTGATTTCAAATCTAAATTTACCAGGGCCTGTTTTTCAAATCTTATAGGAATGAGAAATATTTTAAGAACAAATTTTGATATTAGGGTTCTAATTTTTGTTGATAGTATTTTTTTTTTTTATATAAATAAAAAAAAAAAATTGTTTCTAAATTTGTGTGTTTCAGTTTTCATGATTATTTCTTTCGCTTCAGGGAGTTAATCCTTGTGATAAGAGAAGGAGCATCAACGAGTATCGAGCTCTTTTTCCTGCTATTGATTTTTCACTGGCAAGTAATTTATTGTGATTGGCTTTTGTTTTGTGGATTAGCTGTTATTAATGCAATACTTTTGAACTGTTGATCATGGGTTTGGAATCCAATTTCACTTCGTGCGAACAAAGGTTATTTTTACCTTTTTCTTTTTGTGCCATTTTTATTCAGATAGAAAATGATGATGACATTTTGTGGACGGCTGACACTAGAGAGACGGATGAACATGTTGCAGAGAGGGGAATGAAGTTTATAAACTGGTGACTTCCCATTTACCTCTATTCAAAAGTTTTTTTTTTCATCTACACAAGTGCATGATAAAGATAGAAAGTTTATATAATGACTATGGAATAGTGTGATTGCACTCGCTAGGATGCCATCTGTTTAGTGAGTTCTATCATAGGGTTTAAACTTTTCATGCTCTTGTCTATGGTTTTACAGACGGAAGGCTTTGAGATGTTTTCCAGAGTAGTGGTTATGTTGTTGTCCTATGTAAATAATGATTTCCATTGAGTTTTAGATTCCATACATGGCACTTTGATGTGTGCACTTATGCTTTATCTTCATTTTGATTCGAACTGTAACAATTGATCATGTAATAATCACTTGTGCTATAAATTTCATTAAGAAAAAAGGAATTTTGATGACTTCATTCTACTACTGGAACAGTAAATGATCCCCTTAAAATTGATCCAGACTTGAAATGTTTCTCTGATTTTCCCTAGTATGTGTTTCACCTTTGAATAAGATGCACATGGACATGTAACTCTATGGCAGAAGTGGCGTCAATTTAATCCTGACTATTTCTTTTGTTTTCCCATTAATCAATTGATCCAGGCTGTGGACTCGAAAAGAGAAGGAGATCGCAGTTGTTACTCACAGTGCGTTCTTATATCATACCCTAAGTGCATTCGGAAATGATTGTAAACAGTAAGTGTTGCTTCATATTTTTCAATGCCAGTTATTGGTGTATAGCTTTAACGTGTTTAGCAGATCCTCGTTTAGAAATTAAATTAAAGATATTTAGAGATGGTAGAGATTTGTGTTCACTGTTCAATTTTAGCTACTTGTTGCCTTCTGACATCTTTCTCTGCTTCAAATTCTACTCCTTTATGCCATTTTGCAAATTCTTTGAAGTGTTGGATCATTTCTTAAGTCTGGAAACTGAAAATGGTTTTCTTGGCTTTAATTCTTTACCTGTTCTTGATGTATTTATTGTACCATGTTCTGATATATGTATTAAGTATCTCACGACTACAATTGTTTCAGTGCTCATTTTCTTTTCAAGAATAGACAAGGATCTCCCTGCAACAAGAAGAAAAGATTTAAACTAGTTTGTACTTTGTTTAACAATACATGTGATAGCCTACACACATGAGAGAAGGAATAAGAAAACATCAAGGCACCACAAACCATGAACAAACATCAAGGGACCACAACCACAAACAACAAAGGGACCACAAACCACATAACTTATATTTATTTGTACACAGCAAAAGGATATGTTTTTTCTTTTTTTTTTTTTTTTTTTTTTTTTTTTTTTTTGTGTGTCAGTATTTTTACTAAACATAAACATAATCAACAACAAACAACATAATTATAAAATAAACAGTCACATAATTCATTGTCATCTCATCAAGACATCAACATAAAGACATCATCACTAAATCATTCAATTTGATTTATGATAACATTATCTCTTAAAATCATTCAATTAAGATATTTTACTATATGGGAAATTTAGGCCTGGATTCTTTGACACTACTCTTAGTCTCTTACTGGGATTCACTTCTTAGGAACATTTTACTATAGGGGAAAGGTACTGCGTCTACAAAGGACTTCTAATGCTGGTGTCACTAGTGTGGGTGCTGACAAGGTTACAGGAACACCCTTGTCTCTCAAATCACGAGTAGGCATGGGGACGTCTGGGCATTGGCTAAATGGTGAGCGGCAATTCATGACTCTTGTTGGCTATTAGGAGAAGGTTTCAGTTTAGTTATACTTCAAATCTCAAATTCTAAATAAATAATACTCAATTTATTGGAAAATACAATAACAAGTTCTAAAACATCATGAATAGAGAAAATTGGGATTTGGGTTAGGGACATTACCTTTTGATAAATTGATGAAAAATAGTGTTGGTTGAGACTTGGAAGGGAGTTTAGTGAGAGAAACTTGAGAGTTTAGTCTTTAGAGCACCTGCACCGATAAGAAAGAGGAAATAGTTCTTGGCGTGCGTTGCTGTTCTGGTATTAGTAAGAGTCCAAAATCAAATGAAATCTCATTCTTTTCCCAAATGTTAAGTTCTATTAGGGGGAAAAATGCAAATAAATATAATATATATAAATCTGAATTTTTTTTGAAGTTTGAGTAGGGCCGTGGTCTCCACTCGTCATTATTAAATCCACCCTGTTTGGGTCTGTAACAGCTATATTCCTTTTGCCTTTGGAGACGTGTCATGTTCTGGATGGTAGAACAGTTTTGGATTCTAATTGTGGCTTGACAACGTCACACTATGTCAGCCCTTATTAGGCATAATAGTTTTAATCACTTCTTCTTAGGTGTAATTCAATATTTCGCTAGAGTGAAGCTTGGATAGTTGCACAGTTATATACCTTATATTATTTACATTGCTTAAACTTTGTTAATAATGTTAATATATATACCAGTGACGCAGGGACAAGGATGCACAATGTAGCAGCAAAGAAGAGTCTTAAGGCATTATGTCTCCTAAATTATTTGATGCTCCTATCTCTACTCTTGGTTGGCAGCAGTAATGGATAATTAATCACCACATTATCTCTTGATCTTGCTTTAGTTAATTTTAATTACTTGAAAGTGTTTATAACAGGTGGCTGATCTGCTAACCATGTCCTTGCAAGTGGGCTTTTAAAGGATTGAATTGGTTATCACTTCTCCTAAGTCAAGTTATGATCCCTTCTCTAATTGATGATTATGAATTTTTGCATGGATTAAATTAGCAATTGCATATGTGTTTCAAGGCCATGCAAACAGCAGTTGGAGTTTTTGGTTGCGAAAGCCACATGTATGAATATGGGTTAGATACATGTACACCTCCAGTAATGGTGGCAAATGATCATCGCAATGCAACGCTGGCTCTCAATTGTGTTACAACAAGTGATTCTTGCTGGAAACATGAAGAACGATCTGAAGGCTTGCCGATCTGAATCTTGTGATCACATGTGCAAAGCTAAGATGGTGCGACCTGAAGTCATGTGATCGGTAGTGATCTCAAAGCATGCGATCTAAAGAAGTGACCAGGAGGTAATGCGACCTAGAAGCAATGCAAGAAGCCATAGCGATCAATGCCATGCGATTAGAACCATTATGCGACCTGCCCTGAAAGAGGTAGTTGATTCACCGATCTAGAAGGTGTCAAAGTTGGTCAACTACTTGAGGTGGTTCCTGACTTGTAGGCTGTTTAGTTTCACATATTTTGTATTAAGTAAGAAGGTATGACTTTCTGAGAATAGCCTGTAAATACCTTTACAATTTAGATTAGCTTTAATGCTTACAGAGTAATCATGATAGTGATGTATAGGATGTATGTCTATTTGTATATAACTTTGTTAAAGTTAATGAAACAATTGAAACGAAAAATCTCTTAGAAACATTCTCTGAAAACTTGTCTCTAAGAATACCCAAACAATTGCATGCATTCTTTTCCTTTGATTCTCCAACTTGTAAACCCAACAACGCTCACCAATTTTAGCATTTGAGAAGTACGAGACTGTATGGTGCTTTGCTAACTTTATTTTATAAGAAGAGTTTGTTTAATTAATTTCACTTTTCTGATTTGTTTTTTGTTTAGACAGATTCAATGATTAAGATTAACGGTTTTTACCTTCTGATGCATTTCCTAATTTCCTTCAGGGAGTTCGTCCATTTGAAAGAGGATAAGTGTCAACAAATATAGTCTCTTTACCACTATCGACTTTTCATTTGTAAGTACGTAATATCTTTTCTTTAAAGGAACGTAGAAAAGTTATATTGACCATAAAATTGTAATATTAGATTTTCTGTCTCAATTTTATATCTCATGTCCACAATATTTTTCAATATTATATTAATATAGTCTGATAAATTACACTGAATATATATTGTTGATACTCGATTTTGACACCAACTATTCGCACGTGTAAAATGCTAAGAAGGCTTAGAAGTCACACGTGATATGAAGGATTGAATTAATAAAGGTGAAGAGCATATTTAAAGTGGTTTGGATGCCCAAAAGCGAATCTTACGTCCACTGCTATTGTATTAATAAGAGAAAGAGATCGGGTCGCATTCAGCGAGCTGAGTTACAGTAAAGGGTGAGAATACAATAGAGAGAGAGAGAGAGAGAGAGAGAGAGAGCTATTTTAATTTAAAGTTACGAATCCCCGCAAATGAGGGGAAGTCCTCTATTTATAGGGAAAGTTCAAGGTAATGATTATAAAGCTGCAGTGGGTATGTGCCGTACAAATCCTTTCTTTGCGTCCCATTGGCCACTTACCCGAGGGATTTCCTTGATTAAAGCAGGGCTTTGACACGTGCTCTCGCCGTTTGCTGGCCTAGCACTCACCTGCCCACTGAATGAGCCATGCTACTTGTGCTAGGCGCAACGTGGCTGCACTTGGATGGCACAGAACCCTTCTGAGCTCTGACCATTCTTCACTAACGAGGCTCCACGTCACCTTATTTTCAGGCATACAGAGTCCCCCAGTTTTTTAAGGTTTAAGGATTGAACCTTGAGACTGCATAATATGCCATGATTTGACAAACCCCAAGAACGCCTGGTCGAGCCGACCTGGCTACAAGGAGATCGCAGAATTTTTTTCTATGAGCGACTTGAAATGGTTTTCTTCTGCAGAGTTGATGACTTGGATTAGACCCTACTCAGTGCTATATCGTGCACCTCTTACCTTAACGAGTCCGCGACCTGATTACACACATATTTTTGCTAGAGTGAGAATCACATCGCTCTGCAACAAACATGCGACGAAGAGTGTTTACTCTAACGACCTCTTCAATGTTATCCGTTGCTCTTGACAGCTAATCCATTAATGAAGTGTCCTTTATTCTGATAAACATGTCATGTGCGCATAAGTGCCAGCCATGCACATTAAATGCAAGCTATGCTGAAACGACATTCTTTATCGGGGCATTAATCGGATGAGAGCACATTTAATGTGGAGGAGGGAATCGAGCTTTTGTTCATTATTTCAACGGAGAGGCACGATTGAATTCTGAAGCGTGGCGGTTTACTCTTTCTCACTAATTGATGACATGTGATTGCGATCAACGTTGAGAGACGCATTCCGCCCAAACGTTGACTGGCTTCGGAAATATCAATCGCCATCTCATTCACTATAAAACCCCCGGTTCTCCTTAAGCAATGCACAACATTCACACCTTTCAGAAAAAAAGCAAGAAGCTCTTATGAGACCATATTTTCAATCTCTAAGGTGTGTCACTTTCCGCTCACAGAAGAAGTTCGACCCCCACAACCAAAAAGGTAAAAGATCCTTCCATTGCTTTCCTTTTCTGTTTCGAATGTAGTTAACCAGGCTATAATGGTAGGTTTCTATAAGGAATAGGTTTTTAGGGTACGAACCATCGGGGGTGGTCCCCAAGGGTTTTTAGGTTTTGCTCTTCCTCGTCGTCTTACAAAATTCTGTACGGGACTAAGTAATCTCTACGTGTCCCCCTTTTTCGACCGTAGAAGAGATGGACCCTACAACAAGCAGAATGGATGGGACAAGCTCGCAGGCGTAGGACATCCCAGTGGTTCTGTTGCAAGAGATCCTGTCGTTAGCTACCGAGACGAAATACAGGAGGCAACAGACCAATACACCTTTACGTATACGTCTATCGATACAGGAGGCATACTCTCAGATTCGCCAGAGAATGGCTGCGATCTCTGAAGCTATATTCAATGTGGAGCGTTGATTCCCTTCCATCCCTTTGTTAGGTTGATCCTCGATCAGTTCGGGGTCGAACCTTTACATTGACGCCTAACGCGTATATAGACCATGGCTATGTATATCACGTGCGCCGAGTACACCTCGCCAACTGACTAGCTGGAGCTCGCTTGCTCACTATTTAAAAAGAGTGAGGACAAAGATTCTTACTACCTCTCGAAACGACCCACGATCGAGGGAGACATTTACAATTACCCCAGCAATGTCGGGCTAACGAGACCAAGTTTTTTCTTTTTTCATTATGATGGCATCTGCCAATTGGGACCGATAGGTCTTCCCTAAATACTTGGTGAATTTTTTCTTTTCCTTTTGGCTTTGCTTTCTAACTACCTCTCTTACTCTTTCGCAGGAAACAAGTTGACCAGGTTGACAGATCTTCCTACCTTAATCGATAGTTTCATTTGGTAACCTGCCAGATCATTATCGCAATGTAACGGCTTGTGACAATCGGAACTTGAGGAAGTACATCTTCTTTAACTCTGAAGCGTCCTTGGAACCCTTACCTCGTAAGTGTCCATAGTCTTTTCAGATTTTTGCTTTTGCATGCAGCGAACTTTTACTAAGTACTCCACGTAGCAAACAGCCACCTAGATGCCGAGTCGTTAGAGAGAAGGGGTTCGTTTTTCCCTGGGTTGGCTCCAAGAGACCAGCCGAGTGGGCCCTAGCGACACCCTGTCGAAGGAGCATAGGTGGGGGCGCACGCTCCACCAAAAAACCAGTAGAACCTTTTCGCCTGCGGTCACACGCCCAAAGCAGAAGACCATAGGCCAAAAGTCCAAGAAAAGAGGTGGCTGTAGCCTGAGGAGTCGGAGTCGGAGTCGGAGTTGGAGGGCTTGGGGTGCAGCCTGAGAGGTCGCAACCTTATTAGGCTCTTTTCTTAGAAGGGAGCTCGAGGCCCGCGACCGAGGTTACAGTGGTCCGTCTGCACAGTGTACAAAGGACGTAGCTTCCGGTGGAGAAGCACAAGGCCGGCTAGCGATGTGCCCTCTGATTC